CAGAGAATGGATTGAGAGCAGCCCTGAGGAGAGGGACTTGGGGGTGTTGGTTGATGAGAAGCTCAACATGAGCTGGCAATGTGTGCTCACAGCCCAGAAAGCCAACTGTATCCTGGGCTGCATCCCCAGCAGCGTGGCCAGCAGGGCGAGGGGGGGGAATTCTGCCCCTCTGCTCCACTCTGGGGAGACCCCCCTGCAGTGCTGCCTCCATCTCGGAGGGTCCCAACAGCAGAAGGACATGGACCTGTTGGAGCAGGGCCAGAGGAGGCCCCGGAGATTCTGTGAGGGCTGGAGCCCCTCTGCTGGGATGACAGGCTGAGAGAGTTGGGGGGGTTCAGCGTGGAGAAGAGAAGGCTCCAAGGAGACCTTACAGCAGCTTTCCAGTATCTGAAGGGCACCTACAAGAATGCTGGAGAGGGACTTTTTACAAGGGCATGTAGTGATAGGACGCGGGGAAATTGCTTCAAACTGGAGGAGAGGATATTTAGATTAGATATTAGGAAGAAATTCTTCCCTCTGAGGGTATTAAGACACTGGCGCAGGTTGCCCAGAGAAGCTGTGGCTGCCCCATCCCTGGAGATGTTCAAGGCCAGGGTGGACGGGGCTTGGAGCAACCTCAGCTGGTGGGAGGTGTCCCTGCCCAGGGCAGGGTGTGGGACTGGATGGTCTTTAAGGTCCCTTCCAACCCAAACCCTTCAGTAATTCTACGTGTTACTTCTCTTTGTAGGCAATTGAGGGCACCTACATCGACAAGAAGTGTCCATTCACTGGTAATGTCTCTATCCGCGGCCGAATCCTGTCAGGTGAGTTGTGAAGGTTCCTTAAGGAATAACACTAGAGGCGTAATTCTGTAGCTACCCTGAAGTGGGTGAGCAGTCGAAGCCCACAGGCTGTGAGCGTTGATCTGGAGCTTCCTGGTCCTTGAGCTGCACATGATGCCATTCTCTCACGATGGTCTTCCAAGCCTCATGGTGAAGGGGCTTTGACGACAATGCCACATGGCTTTGCTGATGCCCAGCGGAAGGACCAGTTGTTGGTGGTTAATTTTCCAGATGTGCTGCTGTGGGTGCAGATGTTGATGCAGTGCGGTAGCAGAGAATGCAGGGAGCGGTGTTTCTAGGGAAGGTGTCAGTGTGTGTTGATAAAAGTGTTCAAAAAGACGAGAGAGAGAATTTGGTTTATAATACAAATTTTAGTATTGTATCCTGGCAGTGAGAATGCCTGGTAGAACTGGGGTCCTCGAGCACCCCCAAAGGATGTGTTATGATTTATTATTCAGGTAAGTTAATTTTTCCTTCTAGTAAGGCAAAAGTTAAAGAGTCAGCTGGACAGGATGCTAGGTCATCTTGTCTAGACCGTGCTTTTGCCAATAAAGGTTGGACTGGTGATCCCTGATGTCGCCATCAACCTGAGATTCTATGATAAATATGGAGAAATAACTGGAATTGAAGGGTGCTGCCTCCAGGTGTCAAGTACCACTCATCCTTGCTGATCCCCTTGGATAGCTCTTGTAAAAACCTCTGTTCTCTGTTAGTTATAACCAAAATCTCTGGCCCGGTTTTCCAACAGTCAGTGTACACTTGTGCCCATCGCTGTCATGTCCCCCCTCTTCTGTCGCGCAGGTGTGGTTACCAAGATGAAAATGCAGCGCACCATCGTCATCCGTCGGGACTACCTGCACTACATCCGCAAGTACAACCGCTTTGAAAAGCGCCACAAGAACATGTCCGTGCATCTCTCTCCCTGCTTCAGGTGCGTGCAGGTCCCCGCAGTGACAGGGGAGCATTGTCCTGTGGATATTGGGTGTATGGGAGCGCCAGGCCTGCTCCCAGTGCCTCGTACACGTCTTTGTAGATACTGTTTACTGCTGACCTCGGCTTTTGTGTAGAAAGTGCAGCGAGTGCGCACATCAGTGTGACACAGGCGGTTTTAATGCTGCTTCTGACCTGGAACCTGCTTGCTGGTGGTGATGTCTAAACTCACGATGGTCTTCAGATCCCCTGCTGCTGAGGGGACTGCTGACAAATTCCTGAACCGTAAGACAGGTTCCAGTCAGTCTGCCTGTTCTGAAACCATGCAGTGTTACAGTCTGTGAGAAATGCAACAACTTTCATGTTTCTGGAGTAAACGCTGAGGCCAGAGGGGACGGGTTCGGAGGCTGGCGGGTTGTGACCTACTGCGTCTTTCCTACACCAGCCTTTGCAGCGCAGGTTTCCGGACAAACTGGGACTGGTGTTGCAGTCCAGCCGATGACATCAGACCTTGCTTTACAGCTTAGACACCCAAGGTCTCTTTCGGTGCTGTGTTGCTCAGTAGCATCACGCATGGCAAGTGTCTGTGCTGCAGAGCAAAGGGACTGCAAATGCAGGAAACGTGGAACCACTGAAATACCAGGGGTGTCTTTGCAGGGATGTCCAGATTGGGGACATCGTCACCGTGGGAGAGTGTCGTCCCCTCAGCAAGACTGTCCGGTTCAATGTCCTCAAAGTCACAAAGGCTGCTGGTACCAAGAAGCAATTTCAGAAGTTTTGAAAACAGCATATGGAAGATGCTGAGGACAAATAAAACTTTGGTAAAAATGTACCCTGTGTGTGTAATCTGAAATTAAGAGCGTGGGGACGTGACAGCGCGTGTGAACTCATCGGACTACAGAAATGGGGGAGATGAGTGCGCTTCGAGGAAAATGTGAGAGTACTATGCAGCTATTAGTTCAGATGTTCCAGGTTTTCTATTTGGAAATTACGAGAGTTCGTATGAGGAACAGGGAGGGGATGTTGTGCCTTTGATTGAAAAGTGCCGAGGTCCCCACTGATGGATCCAGGGGGTCAGAGGTGTGGCACAGCCGGCTCCCGTGCAGCCTGCCCGGCGGAAAGCTGCCTTTCCATGTCTCCTCCCAGGATCCATGTTCTGAGACAGACTGAGGACAGATTTTTAATGTGTGGGGAACTGGAGCACAGTAAAAAAGCAAAAGGGGGACACGCTCTGACCGCTTTGAGTTACTTTCTGGTGGGTTCTTGCAGCTTTCCAGTTCTATACTGATTTCTGGTTTGCCATTTCACCCCTCCCCAGCGTAGCTGCAGGCAGGGACAGATTGGAGGTTGCGTAATAATTTGGGTTAGAATAATGTAAAGCCTCTTAGCGATAACAAAGGCGGTTGTGACTTTAAAGATCATTTTTCAGAAAGCTTAGATATGTATTTAAAGAGGAAGATGCCACGTGGTGTTTTCTCACACAAAGGTGTCCGAGCACATTTTTACAAGGCAGTGGTGCGTCAGCAGCTGAAGGGAATGGGAATTAGTGCCAAAGAAACTGCTTTTCCTGCAGATTTTTTTTAGAGGTGATAGTTGCTTGTAGTTCCAACAGTCATAGGAAATGTTATTCTGGGAACTGTGCAAGCCCTTCTGTAGGAAACCGATCCCACGTTCGGGGAGTGATGGTGCAACCCAGTGCAGATGACAGGAGGGGGTGTGATGACAACCAGAGGCAGAACAACCAAAATTTTATGTTTTAAACCCATGTGGTTAAAAAAGGCAGTGTTACCTTAACCTCGGGCTGGCTCTGGCAGTGTGGCCTGTTGAGTGAGTGCTGGAAGGGGCTGCGGGAGCGAGGTGGTGCCCCACAGCTTGCAGAACATGCTGCGTGGTGGCAACTTCAGCGTTAATGCATGTTTGGTGTGCAAAAAGTGAGTAGTGTTTGTGTGAGCCTTTGGTTTGTGCTGCCTCTTACCTTTGTGGCAGGGATGTCCCCTTGCATCTGGGAGGAGTTTGTAGGATTTGGGAGGAGCGCTTGCCCTGCCACATGCTGGAGGCGTTACCAGTAACACCAATCTTATAGAGTCATCTGGGTCCGAGGGGCCC